TACATATATATTTTTTATCAATATATATGTATGCATTTTTATCAATACAAATTATCCATTAATATTTGGGAGTAACTAACTAAATGCTTAGATTTAAAAAAAAATGTTTATGATTTCTTTTTAAAAAATATTTTTTTACAACAAACAATGTATCCACACGCAATTGTGTTCATTGTTCGCATTTCCATATTTAATCTAATACTTTTTTTGGTTGGACAACATTTAATCTAATACTTGTTTTCTGTTTACATGAATATTTTCGAAATGTTTATCCATAAAAAAGTAGAAAAATAAACTTTAAAAAATTGAAAAGTAAAAAAAAAACCGTACGGGTTTTGTTTTGATAAAACAAAAATGTTTACTTTTAGCAAAAAAAAAAGTACAGAGTTGATTGAGTAACGTTTTATGTTGGATAATTTTGACATACTAATGTCCATATTATATCATGAATAAATTAAGAAAAATTTTTAAAAAAATTCACTTTTCAAGTGCCACTTTTCAAAAATGCCATTTTTTCAAAATCTTTGCAAAAATATCAAAAAAAAATTCATTATATCATTTATGTTTCGGTTAACTATGTTATATTAGAGTTTAGTTTTGAAGGCTTAATGGGTTTTATGAGTCAAAACATTTTTTAGGGTTTATAAATTTTAAGATTTATGCTTTAAAAATTCATAATTAGTAGCATTTTTGCAAATGAACACCCTAAATGGCATTGTTGCAAATATACACACCAAAAATGAAATTTTTTGCAATTGTCCCAAAAATTAATTTGTCTCCGCCAAAAAGAAGAAGTTATATTTAAGTATAATTAAGATTAGTTTATTTTATGATCAATAGGTTTTGGATTGAGATGCAGCTAATCTATATATGGAGAATATGATTGTCGAGTAACTTATTTTAACAATTTATTCACAGAAAAATTTTATAGGTGTAATGTGTGATATCATTTTGACTAATCAAATAATGCATATGAGTATTTGGGTCGAGTCGTATTGGATATAACTTATAACTTATATGAGTATTTGGGTCGAGTCCTACCGGATCCGGATCGATTCGGATCTAAAGAAATTTTACTTGTAATTACCCGAACTTTCTCGGATTCATGTTCGATTCCATATTATTTCAGGTTTAGTTGTACCCGAAACTATTTTTTATCCGAAATCTACAAAAAAAAAATAACCTATAAATAAAAAAATGTTTGAACCAAAAACAACAAAAAAAACATTTGAAATCAAATCCAAAGTTCAAATTACTTGAAAATGTGACAGAGAAAAAAGATACAGTTGATGTAGAAATTTGTACCCAAACCTGTACCCACTGGTAAGAATCTATACTCGAAATTGTACCCACATGTATAATGTTTTATTACCCAACATATTAAAACAT